CCCCCTATGTGACGTCACACACCACTAATAAAATAATTCCTTTACCCTGCTTACACCTATATGCCGTGAGCTGATTATCGAGCCTTCATTGTAACAGCGCGGGTACACTGTGTGTGTGTGTGGGGATTGTTGCAGTAGAACATTCCACTGTGGCGACCAGTACATTAATGGGAAACCCTAAATGTTTGAGCACCCTCTATGAAAACGTCAAGCTACCCCACAGCACCCCCCAAAAATAGAATCTCTGGCGCCGCCACTGAGCCTGACTATTTGTGTTGGGGGGGGCCCGACTTTTTTTTTTCTCCAAAGGGGGGGGCCTGACAGAAAAAAGTTTGAGAACCACTGCACTAATACCACAGTACTGGCAAAACGGGAGGAGCCGAGTGAAAAACAAGCGCCCCTCATCCCAATCCAACCACACCGCAGTATTTTTTTCTTTTTTTTTACCCAAAAAATATATTGTATATTATCGGGGCTATTAATACTTTTATCGGGTTTATCGGGATGACGTCATAATTCCTAATATCGGACCGATAATTATCGGGCCGATAATTATCGTGCACCACTAGTTTATGACTACAGTTCCTATTGGAAAACCAGATGGATTTCTGATTGGAAAGCCTCTAATTCTAATTAAACATCTAGAAAAAAGTCTAATTGGACATCCTCAGAAGCTCCAAAGTCACTGCTTGACTCCTCAGTGACAAGTGATTGACATGGAGTTGTCCCCGCCCCCCTCCCTGCAGTGGATTGGACGGTGGCCAGAGGACGAGGTGTCTCAAGGAATCCCTGTGTCACCAGAGAAGCTTTGGCACACACAGACACAGGCAGAGATAAAACACACTGCAGATAACCTCACACCCAGGACTATTTACTCTCGACACACACTTCCCCCGGCTCTAGGTCTCGTAATGGGATCCTCTCTGAAACTCAAAGAGGACGCTGGTCTCTAGGTGTGTTCCCTGGTAACACAAACACACCTCCCTCAGAGGAAATGCTCTTTCTTTGAGAGCATCTTCAGTCCTGTTCATTGTGTACGACCCGCTGAGGCATGCCACGACCTGCTGTGTGTGGGTACCAGTGTGTTCTTCTGTTTCTTGTGTGTGTGCTTCCGTCAGACTGCCTTGAGTGTGACCTTGTATTGAACACAGAAAAGTGATCAATACACGGTGCCGCAGCTTGCCCAGAGGGGCAGGAGCAAAGTGGAATAATTGTATTACTGTTGTGCCATGCTGAGATATTCATAACTCTATTGATTATTTAAGTGAATCAATGATAAGGGCGGCCATCAGAAGACCTCAATAAATCTTCCAGCTTTGAATCTGTGTCAGGCTGAAACTACGCTTCATTCTCAAGCAAGCTGAAGTCTTATCTTCAAGCTGTGATTTTCTGCAGCTGAACAAGCACAACAGACTCACATCCAATGCTCTTTTGTTTTGCTTTTTGGTTTGCTTGACTGGTTGTTAAGCACAAGCCCATCTACCTGCCATATTTCCTCTGTCCCCTAAAGAAAGAAGGCTTCCAGAAAAACCGAACAGATGGCTGGACTGCTTGATGATACGCAGTGCTCCACACGGTGGAAACTTCCAGTGTTTTACACTGACGCAATTATCTGTAATGAATTGAATTAGCCTACCAAGCTAGGAATGGCATCAGTGAAAAACACAACACAGAGAGAATCAGATTCTTGTCATGGCACTCCGCTTCAAGGCCTCTGTTCTTTCACAGGGAGAAACAGATGTGTTAGTTTTATGCAAGTGCGTTTGGATGAGGCTCAAGTGAGACTTTGGTCTCTGGCTGGCTGTTCTGTATGGCTGTTCTGTATGTACTGCTGAATCCACAGAGGTGTCTCCCTGACTCTGTGAAAACAAGAGCCTTGTGACGGATAATTATATAGTTTGTCACTTAGAGCTTCACTGTTACCATGGTTACATACTGCATATAAAGTCCAGAACAGTCTGAGTTCTCAAACCGTCTCTTGTCTTTTAGGGATGTAACGATATATCAAATATCGCGGTAAATAAATGTCTCAATACCGTCGTGAGACTGACCAAATATACCGCGATTTAAAAAAAAAAAAAAAGGTTTTTAAACCTTTATTCAACCAGATGGTCCCATTGATAGCTATTACGTAAGTTAA